GCTGCGGTTCTCAGTGGGTTTGGGTTCGTAGAAGTGAGTAGCGGAGGTTTTTTAAAGTGGCTGGGACGAGATTTCACACTCATGGTTGACAGGTCGCGCGCCTCTCCCTCGCAGTATACACACACGTTTCACATGCGTTATCCTGAAGCTTCTATTGGTAGTTGCGGTCGCCGATCAGAGTTTTTGCCCCTTGTAGTGGTACAATAGCGCGCCATCTCATCGTTGGGGTGCGGTTTAGTGAAGGTGAAGGTGAGCCAGCCATGCAACCGAGGTGTGAGCGTCGTGATGTCTTGACACATTCTCTAGGAACACCGATGCGCATTGAGGTACTGCTTACAACCTTCGTAGTGGTGTTGCAGCCTTCAGGAAGAGATGGTATCATGACAGCCATCATGCCCAGAGATTGAGCTGGAGGCAGAGACGTGTTTGAGATGCATGGCCTCGCAGTCGGAGCATAGAAACGATCGTCGGAACAGTGAACGGTAGGTACGCGGCGAAGCACATATATGTGATCCAGTGTTCACAATGAATACAGGGCCTGGAGATGCCACTGAAGCCGCGTTATGGGGTGCCGTTTGTACCGCAGCTTGGTGATTGTTATGGGCGTGCCAGCTGCAAGCAGCGGCTAGGACAAGGCGAGCGAAGGAAAGTGCGCAATCTGGTCGACGCCTGGCCTTATGCAGTGATTAGCTGATTGGTTTGGTTATGGAAAAAGTCAACAATTCATGTGCAGCGCAGGAAGACAAAGGCATGGTAGCATGAGGGTGAAAGCGTGTACGACCTCGGGAGATTGCGTACGGCGTCGAAAGACGCAGTTGCGCGCTAGTATCCACAGTGGGGCTAGACCAGGTAACGATCGGCGACCTAGCAAACTGCGGTGATAAATGAGGAAATCCAGGCCCGGACAATAAAGATATGGAGACAGATGGTGAATTAGACCGTCAAACTGACTGGGACTCGCTATGGAGACATGATTATTACAAAAGGATTTGGTGTAACGCGCAAAGAAAGTATTAAGATCGAACTATTATCAGCACACTGCTAGTATAACAAAGCTAAACACTCGCAAAGAGACTGATGACGCCAAATGGTGCGAACGCGAATCTGAAACACCTGTCAAAACCCTGTCTAAGCGTGTCAGTAAGCCAGTTGCAAGCTTTTGTGCAGGCTAAGAAACATACCAGCTCAAAGGTAAGTTCGCCCACCTGGCGCCGCTTCCTTGATCTCTTTGAGATGTTTTCCATGCTCCTCGATAGCTTTCGGGGTAGTCTTCGTGACTTCACCCTGACGGAGCGCATAAGAGTACCATGTCTTGAAGCATTCTTTCTGTGAGGCTGTCGGATAGCGTACGCCTTTCGCGCGATGGGCTTGGAGAACCATGGTCTCGAGAGATTGGGTTGCAGCAGGCATGATGATAGTGCGAAGGTGAGAAAACAATGTTTGTGAAGCGATGACTGAATGTGCAATACGACGAAGGGTAAATTAGTTCTGAGAGCGAACTTGGAGTAGTATTATTGCAAGCGGATCCGCAGTGAAAATGGCCGTCACGTGATGGCAGTAGTCTCAGATCGATTTGCGGAAGCGGAGAACAAAGGTGGAGCAAGTGAGTGTATTAATACAGGAAGATTTGACGAGCGGAATGGCCGTGGGCTTACATGTCTTGAAGTTATCTTTTTCCGGCTCTCCATCAGATCTCCGCGACAGGTATAACGGCAGACGTGCGCAGCGGCCTGCCGGTGCTCAAGTCGCCGAACATGGGTCTAAAGCCATTATGAAGAGTTTCCCGAACTCTAACTAGCCGTGCACGTCTTGATGTCAGTCAGAACTGTGCAGTTCTCAAGTTTGGCGTGAATGCGGCGAATGTTGACATTCTGCGCTTGACGAATGCTACCTAGGTACTTGCTTGTAAAACCATATCAAGTGCTAACGTTGCTCTTCCGACCTCAACATTTACTCAACAAACTAGGGGTGTGGGAGTGAACGAGTAAATATGTAAGCATACGGTGAGATCTGGTGCTTTGCTTCTATAGGCGCTATGTGTGGCCGATCGGTGTCAAGGTATCAACTCGGGCGACGCGCGGGAAAGCGGGGTCAGTGCAGCGGGCCGAAAGCGAGCCCAACCTAAAGTTCGGCGACGAGCGCGCCCAATGCACGGGACAAGACGGCAGATACCGGGTGTAGTACACGTCCGAGCCAGGTCATGCGCAACTCCCGATCGTGATTGATCGGGGTCAGAGAAATCTAGTTACTTGAAGCAAAAGCCAGAAACCAGATTCATTCGAGTAGATTAACCCCAGCGTGTAATCGTCGAGGATCTGTGGGTGCGCGTCCTCCATCAGTGATGTACTTTGCTTGTAGGAACATCTTTCCACTTCTGCGGGAGGTCACCGTCATTTCTGCGGAAGACCCTCAAGCCTTCAAACTCCAGGTCACCTTCAGCGATTTCCGGTATCCTGATCATTCCGCTGAAACGCAAGCCACGCTCTTCAAATCGAATATCTCCTTGAGCAATGCGATACGTCCCTGGGTCATAGAATTCGCCAGTCGGATTATCAAGCCGAGCGTCGAAGTGAAGCTGAGGTAACGCGGTAGTATCGATATCAAGAGCAGGAAGATCTCTAAGATGTCGAGTCTCCACGTTAGCCCGTTTGCGTTCTGGTGTTCTCTCCATAGCCAAGTTCAGTGCTTCCTCGCATAGTCTTTCGACTTCGTCGTTCTCATAAGAAGGGGGAGCGCGTCTGCCACGTCTTTCTGTCGCCGTAGCCCAAAGCCACTCAGCGATGCGATCATCGTCGAGACCAAGGATTGCCGGGCCAGTAAACTTGCCAAAGTTGAAGTAGGCTTCGAGTATGCCAGATGTAAGCGAAGAAGCACCCAAATATTTGATTGTGATGCTGAGCTGCCCAATGAGATCCGGATGCCTCGCTTGAAGCAACGGACATAAAATCATGTAGGTTCCTGCCACATAACTCATGTAGTTATGTAGCTTAAATCTCCGGTGCTCTTCATCGATTGCCAAGATGGAACTCATATAGAGTTGAGATAAGGGGTCTAAAACTTCACGGGGTAGATGGTCCACGTGCTCCGGCGGTGTTGGGGGCGCGCCCGAAGTTTGCGCGATCCACGACAGTATGTTTTCCCTGTTATCGATCTCCGGCTCAGAGGTAGGCGACGGGAGCCTTTGTCTCTTGTGAGGATGGCCAGAGGCTTCGCCAAACTCTGCAGCGTCGGGTCGTGACCGTTTTGTCACTGTGGCAGGCAATGTTTTTTCCATGAGTAGATTCTTTCGCTGCGTTGCAAAGCACCAGCACCGGGAGGCGTCATGTGGAGTTTTGTTCTTGAGATACTCTTTTGAAGCTGGGTGCTTAGGATATGCTTTGGCCCAATCCTCTTCTAAATTGTGGAAGACTTCAATGGAATGCTCCAAGGCGCCCTGGAGATGGGTTAGTACCTAGGTATGATGGGAAACAAATACGGATATTTGGATACTGACAATGTAGTACTTGTCCTCTAGTATTGGGATGATCTGCACGAGACGCGAGATCATGTCGCGCTTCGTCCAACGAAGTTCTTTACCGGGACGACCGGAACCGCGGAGCAACAACTGCGCCTGAAGCCATTCCTCCGAAACGCCCTCCACTCCGAGATTATCGTTGATAAGCTTTTGCACGACATCCACCTCAAGCTCAAGGTAGCAGTTGTTTATCTGCATTCGTTTGCGCGGGTGAAGCGATCCATTGTATGAATAGGTCATTCCGGCCCAGGTCTTTACGGCAGACAATGGTTTGGCCATTATCGTAAGGAATTGTTGATGGGAGTTGAGTTTGCGAATTTAGGCCTGCAGTAAGTGATGGCAAGATGGGAATAACGCTTGTGTGTCGATGCTGTCCATGGTGGCAGCATATCTAGTTATCTATGTATATGGGTGCATGGCGATACCCCTGCGAGCGGATGCAGGGTGCAGGTGGGGATGCTTGCCGAGACGCGTGTTGGCCTTAGCTGACACTGCGGCATATGGAACCCGCTGCTCGCCGACCAATGGCAAGCGCCGGCCATCTGAAAGCGACAAGTCGCTCTCAGCAGTCAGGCACCTTTCCACAGAATCTCCGCAAGTCGTCCCGAGCCCAGCGCGAAGGTTCAGCAAACTGTCAACTCCATGTCCGGATCTAACTAGGTGGCATAGCGCATCACGATGCTCGCAGTATTGCCGCGCGCATTTGAAGTGGGCGTCGAAGATACGAGTGAGCAGCTTGAAGTTCCGACTCGCGTCATGCATGCAGCTTCTTCTTCTCAACACCTGGGCACACTAGCAGCGACGGCACTGTTGCATGCAAAGTGTCAGCATTCACTGCGGACCCGGCGGGCTGACCCAGGCATACAGAAGGATGCATCCGCGCATTAACACGCTAACAATGCGCTGTCTGTAAGGTTTGCAGGGTCTTTCACACCACAGCCAAAGATCGCGATGACACGCGGTGCGGTGTACATTGATACCTGACAAAGCAACAGTCGAAAGCGGTCAACAGCAGGACTGGAAAAAGTATTCATATGGCTAAAGATCGCGTGGTACGCGCAGCGCACTGCTGCTCTTACGCCTACTCTGATAACCAGCGACAAAATCTACCCCATTAACATCGGTCAACAAACGAAATCTTCTGTCGGTCAACACTCGTTCCACACCGCCCCGTATTCGACCTTCGACGTATCGTAATCCAACCACTTCTCAACGGTGCAAGAATCATCGCTTTTGATTCTGTAACCACAAATCTTTACAGGCGTGTCGCTGATCATAGGAAGGTTGATCTTGCCTTCGAAATACAAACTATCTGCCCGGAATTCGAGATGCGCGGTATTGCCAGAGATGCGAATGGGTCCACCAATGGATGGTCTGTTCTCGTATAGTCGAGCTTCGCAGTCGAGGTCGAGTGGCTTTCGTAAGTCGAGAGGCGGTGATTTAATGATCGCGTCCATAGGTAATTCATTTACTCTTTTGAGCTCTTCTAGAACGTCTCGAAGTCTTTCTGTGTCCTTGTCAATCCTGCATTTCCCATTGCCACCATCTCTTGAACGCTGGCTTTGGTGTCTGTAACACCAATCTTGGACTATGTCAAGGCCAGGCCCCATAACCATGGTGCCTTTCAATAGCCCAAGGTTGAGGTGGGCCTCGAGCAAGCCACGTTCCTGTGTATGATCATCAAGGCCTTGAACAACCATGCGCAGACTACTTTTTAGTTCTGGGTGTTTATGCTCAATGAGTGGGCACTGAATCCAGTAAGTACCCATAGCTGCAACGAAAGTCTGCTTGGCACGGCATGCCTCGTGTTGGCTCATGAGATTTTTCTCATCCTCGCTTCGTTCTGGAGTCCATGGGTTTTCGGGTTGCTTCCCCCAATAACGGTTCACATACTCCCCTGCATGTGAGGGTATGGCAGCGTCGACACCGTCGTTTGTGAACTCTTCCGATTTGATCTTCTTACTGGACAGAATCTCATGGTCGTCTGGAATGGGTTCATCGAGCTCCCTTTTGAGGTCGTTTGCTGCGGGTGGTGTAGATGGAGGAGTAATTGTAGACGGAGGAGTAATTGTAGATGGAGGAGTAATTGTAGATGGAGGAGTAATTGTAGATGGAGGAGCAATTGTAGATGGAGGAGTGATTGTAGATGGAGGATTGAATGTAGATGGAGGAGTAATCGTGGATGGAGGAGTAATGTGCCAACCATGCGTGGTGTGCCACTCTGTCGCAAGGTCCTCGAATATCTTTCTCGGATATACTGGCAGCTGCAATGATTGTCAGTAAAATGAATCGACTAAAGAAACTAGATCTGAACTGAAGTAAGAGAACACGGTACTTGCCAGATTTTCTGCCACGCCGCTGGCTTTCAGCTTTGCCAGTCCTTTCTTCAGCATGTTGATTTGGACCCAAAGTTGTTCCTTGCCCAAGTCCGCAGGGGAAATCACATCCCAGAATAGTGCGTGTCTGCGCATCTCTTCTTTGTTCATGTTGAAAAGCGTGACGAGAATGTTATCAATGCCGAGACGACGTTCTCCATTGATTTTGTACACTGTGCCGTCATATGAGTAGGTGTCCCCTTCCACCACTTTCTTCACCTCGATAACAATTGGATTCGACATTCTGTATGAGCTGGAAGTTTGCAGAAATAATAAAGGTATCGTCATGTCTTTATATGAAGAACTTTTGGATCCCTGTAGGCGTTCATACGGACGCGTCGCGCTAGTGACTACTAGTGCTCACTAGAACGCGCCGAAGAAGTAAATCTTCCCCAGCCATCTTCATTCTTGAAACCGTATCGATCAGAATAGCTGAGATTCCGACAATCTTTTACTCCATGGCGTTATATTGATATTGAATTCTTTCGGTCCGGGTCAGGTTATGGTATGGTGTTGCTACCTATCATCGGGCCTTACTGTTAGCGCATAATGTCTTGAGCCCTCAGGGTCAAATGCCACGCCACTTTCATCGTCACAACGCGTTCGCGAAATCCCTTGTGGCGATGATCGTTGAGAACAATCTTCAAGGTTGTATGCCATTAGTCTATCCGCGATTTGCTCGTCTCGTGCCAACGTTACCTGCTCAGGTATGTGACTGTTACGCTGAGGGGCAACCACCACCTCTAGGTTTTGTTAACGTATCTCGCGCATGTACTATTGGAAGCTTTCATCCCCAAGCATGACGTCTTGCAGATTCTCAGATTTCCTTTCGATATGCCAATCAGTACTTCGTGCATAGTGTCCTTGGCATATCCACGTCTAGTTCGGAAGCGATGTTACGATCATCCATCGGAACAATCGAGACCACGAATAGATATTCGCAAAGTTTGCCAACGTCCAAATGCGAGATTGTTAGCACAAATACTTCATCTCAGCCAAAAACTTGCTACACTAGATTGGAGAGACGTGGAAGGCGCCCGTTGGCCTATGGAAATGCGACACACCTATTCTTTTGTGTTCACTACGAGATCTCTACTACGGATATACGCTACATCCTTAATGAACAGAGAGATATATATAAGTCCTCCATATGGTTTGCAATGGCGTGCCATCACCCGAATGATGGCTTCCAAGGTTTGATTCACATCATGTGTATGGAGCTTTCACCACTCTCACATGCGTACAGTCGCGCCTTTGCCAAGTATTCGCAGATATGGCCACCTTCGAGTTGCTATACTTACCTTCACTCCCTGCCTCGTCCGCAAGAGGCGAAAATAGAATCTACGTACTTCAGAAGCGGTGATTATACACTTCTCGGCTCAACTACACCTGCGGCACCTACCTATCACGTAATACTCGTCTGTCTGGAACAGACTGTCCCGCTCCCACTGCAGGACACTCCAAGAAAATAAGAGGGCTCTCCACATATCTACACACTACCGCCGCCAGCATGCCTCTCCTACCTCTGACCAAGGGACAAAAGAAGGCAGCGAAGAGAGCTGCCAAGAAACAAAGTGCATCAGCTACTAAGGAGGCTCCTTCGAGCAACGTAGAGTATGCACTAGTCAATACTATCGAGCCTGAGCGGCTCGACCTGCCCGCAATTGCATTTACACCTACTCAGGAAAGCGCAACATCGACACGTAATGTTGCTGTTTCCCACCCTGAGCACTACAGCCTTATGTCGTATGAAGATATAGTCGCTGCTCCATCTCTACCAACTGCATCACAGCAGCTACCACCATCGAGCACTGATGTCACTGGGTCTCAGTCCTCAGGCCTTTTGCCTACATTGTCCGCACTGCCTTTAGAGTCCCTGGGCAGCTTCAACGATACCTTCACCTTCGCAGCTCCCACTGGCGTTGTTACTTTTGGTAAAAGCTACAATGTCACCGACGTTTCCAAGCACGAGTACGCATCTTCCCTCTCCCAGGATGTCGAGGACATTGAGGATGAAGGTCCAACTTCGTTGGCTTTCAGCAAAGCCTTCGTGGAAGACCTACGAAGTCCTACATTTACGACCGCCGCAGCGTCGACGAGAGCTTTCGAGGAAGCCTTGTCACGAAACTCAGATGTGACAGATTCATCGATCTTCACGCGGCTCGAGGATGCCACGATTGACAACGGTGCAGCCCATGTGTACAGATATAAGCGTCCATCCACAGCTGCTGATAACGAGAGAAAGCCGGAAGTATCTTCAGACTGTGCGAACCATGAAAGGGCTCTTGTGCCATACTACAGGCCTAGGCAACTGAGCCTTACTGTGGGCTTCAGAATGGACCAAGATCTCGACGAGACCAACACCAATCTGTCACTCGAAAGCATACTTCGTAGTCGGATGTTCTTAGCGAGCGCGGATGGTATGATCCAATGCATCGCGTACGACCAGCTTCTACACGACGTAGAAACCATCAAGGATGACGGCGGATCAGACTTCGACTCGGTCGCATCTCCAAACAAAAGCTACCTTGACGGTCTGGGTGACGCGCATGATGAGAGCTCCCAGAGTATTGACAGTCGCATTGAAGACGCACAGTCAGACCCCAACATCCGCGAAAGGCTTCACGATGTGGAGGACAGTGAGGAACTGGAGAGCCTCGAAGTACCCGGTCGGTGTCTGCAACCTACACCCAAGTATAGTTTCGATCGCGAAGAGTTGTCGAGCTCTGCGGACGGTTCGGATGTTGGTTCGGACGATGCTGCATCGGTCAGTACTGAGAAGTGTGAAGTGGTTGGGACGCATCAGGGACGCCTTGAATCTACCACACGCTCAGACAGCACAGAAGAGCTTCGCGACGCAGCACTGAACGAGCTCTCCAATGGAGAGCTTGCGGAGAGAGTGGCGACTAATCCTCAAGTTTCAGTAGCTTCCAACGGTGGTCCCGATGTGAGTATGATACGTCTCGATACGGAGCCCTTCTCCTCCTACCTTGAAGTCATAGAGGCCGAGGAAAGCGGAAAGGCTACTCGGAACGCCGTGGTGACCGCGTTCCTGAAGCTTGTCAACATCGAGCGACAGAAGCGAGGGGTTCATAGTCTACCGTCGTTATACACAGCACAAAGTGTGCTGAGCAGTGGTGTTCTTCCGCACACAATCATGCTTGGTACTACGAGTGTTGCATCCTTTGTTGCGCAGCTGTGCTTCGACGAGAAAGACGAAGTCGAGATGGGCGACGTGTATGCGGCTTGGGATCGATTGGGCCGCGAGGAAGTGCAACAGCAACCGATGGCTTCTGGAGGCATCATGGGTGCGTTAGGCAGGGCCCTGGGCAGGTTCCGTGGTTCGTATCTTGAGTAGTGAGTCCAAGTGAACGAGAAGATGCGGAACGTCTTTCATATCATCTTTCGCCGTGCTTAGGGTCATCTAATGGTTCATGTTGACTTCGGATATAAGGCTCTGGTAGTATAACATACATCAATTCGACACGGTTCTCTTTCCAGTCATCTGTGCGAGACGAAGAACTAGCGCGGTGTGTACGTACGAAGGCCCTTCGGCTGGATTATCACGCCATCTAATCTTGCACTGAGAAAATTTACACGCATCGCTCGTACGAACCGGATAGCTGATCTCCCAAGTCGTATAGCCTGCGTAGCCGCAGTGTGGCAAACAACGACAAGGCTTGTCAGGGGTCGGTGGTAAGCAGGAGCTTTGGTGGGCCATGAAATGACTTCGGGAATCGCACTCGGCAAGATCTGATATCCACATCGCGTAGATGAAACAGCACAAGATCTTGGAAAGCCGATATCGTCGACCACAGTAGCCAGACTAGTCACAGAAGGACCAAAATTGACATCGGTATACAGCAGCGGCTGAAGTTAATGTTGCCACACACCAGGATGCAGATACTCCTTTCCACCGTGGTGACTGTAAGCCGGATGGCATCCCTGCCCACGTCCTTCATGTTTCCTTCTTCCGCGATGATGCCGTGATAGCCATCGGATGGACCGACCCTGATCTACGCGCCATCAAGGACATGGCTGGGTAAATTCGTACGACATCTAGATGCCACCGGCTTGCCAGCTAATATGAAGCATTCGGCGGTCTTGGATCTAGAGAACTGGGCAAGTTGCGCGACCTACAAGCGCAGCCGTAGTGCCCCGATGCTGTACGCGAAGCCGTTAGTGCTGTATACTCGTGGTCGCTTCGGATGGTGTTGCACCAGCAGTTCATCCTGTAGTCCATATTGTTAGTCAGATACTATCGTGTCGATCGCCTAACTGAGTACAGGCGATCAAGGCAGAATGAGAGTTCGCGAAGTGATGATCTCTTGAACGCTGAATGTGTGAACTGTGAAGAGTTCGCGAACCTCGATACACTTCCAGGGGTGCCTTGACCTGTCAGTAATAACACCACCATTATGCGTTCATGTAGTGCATAGTAACATTGTTTTCATGTACTCACCGACCTTGAGATCCACTCATGCACTCCACACATCATCTCCGCTCAAGATACCCACCGCGCTTGGCATGTCTTACCAGGATCGGTAGAAAAGCCGGCTACTATACATCTTGGCAGATCCTCTTCATCCGGTGGTTATCCTGAGTTTGCCGAGGCTTCCCGCCATGAGCGCCCAATGTTTCATCACGTGCGCCACTGTCGCTAACAATATCATCGCCTACATGACATTAGCGCGGCGGGTGTTCCTTCCAAGCTTCGTTGTCTTCCGAGGAGTGTGGGGTAAGGCGACCACCTGTACCCTAGTGGCGTTCTTTTATATTAACATCCTGTGAACCGGGTTGAGAAAGCGCGTAAAGCCCGGATCAGCGATATTATCTTTGTGGTGTCGTGCAGATGTGTGCAAGGGGCATGGATCTTTGTGCTCTTCTATCTTTTCCATGATTACCGAGGCCGGTCACTGAACGGTGCAGCTTGCCGTGTTCGTGGTTCCTAGGCCGTTCTAGTCAGTGCGCTGGGCGTGCTTTTCGAAATGAGAGGACTGGAACACACCATCGTCGTTGACACCAAGACGGATGTAGACAGAGGCGAGATGATACCTCATGACCACCAAAGGCGACTTCTTCCAGCGATTCAGGCTCATCTCCACCTCGAAGTTGACATATAAGCTCGTTGCTTCTCGCAGTTCAGTATCATCACCGCATCCAGCACAGATCTCCAACTCAGCTCAACATGGTCTCTTTCAAGTCTCTCCTTCTCGCCGCTGTGGCTACCACCAGCGTGCTCGCCGCTCCCTTTGACTTCCTCACTGAGCGTGACGATGGCAACGCAACTGCTCTTGAGAAGCGTCAGTCCACTCCCAGCGCTGAGGGCTACAACAACGGGTACTTCTACTCGTGGTGGACTGATGGCGGTGGTTCCGCTCAGTACACCATGGGAGAGGGCAGCAGGTACTCCGTGACCTGGAGGAACACCGGCAACTTCGTCGGTGGCAAGGGATGGAACCCTGGAACCGGCCGGTATGTCATCTGAAGAACTAAGCTTCATCATTTGCTGATCCCCATCCTAGCACGATCAACTACGGCGGATCTTTCCAGCCTCAGGGTAACGGTTACCTTGCCGTCTACGGTTGGACCCGCAACCCGCTTGTGGAGTACTACGTGATCGAGTCTTACGGCACCTACAACCCCAGCAGCGGATCCCAGCGCAAGGGTAGCTTCACGACTGACGGCGGTACCTACGACGTTTCCACATCCACCCGTACCAACCAGCCCTCCATCGATGGAACAAGGACCTTTCAGCAGTACTGGTAAGTCGAAAAGCAACATGTGGACGTTGGACGCACACTGACAACCCCTCCAGGTCTGTCCGCACGCAGAAGCGCGTCGGTGGCAGCGTCAACATGCAGAACCACTTCAACGCCTGGGCTCGTTACGGCATGAACTTGGGCCAGCACTACTACCAGATTGTCGCCACTGAGGGTTACCAGTCTTCTGGCAGCTCGGACATCTATGTGCAGACTTCCTAAGTCAGGATGGGTCGCGGATAATCGGATGAGCAGTCGGTGTGCAAGAACAGACAATAGCGGCGCTTCGGTTGCTGTCCGAATTAGACTGTAGATACGGGCGATGCGGGTCGTTCGAACTAGTCCGTAATGTGTCAATCTAATCGCTCGTTCAAATATCGTTCGCCTTGAACTCCCTGCATTGACTTCCTTTTCTCCTATATCCCTGCAAGCAGACTTCCAAGCAATCATGTCGGCCACCTTCTAGAATCGGCCAAGCTTTCCTCGTGTTGTGGCTGCATGCCAAGCTCAGAACGTGGCTGCCAAGGTAGGAGATATATTACTTGTGGGTCATGATCTCGCAAGCGGAAATAACACCCATCAGCCGAGAAGACGTAAGGGGTGGCTGCATGTGGCGTTGAAGTGTGATAGAAATCTTCGTTACGGGTCTCCTCATCCGTGAGGCCTTTAATCTGGGGGACCAATCCTCGGGCATAAGGAATTTGAGTGCTGAGCGAAGTTGGAAATGCTCCATGGCATCGCCCAACCTCCGAGGACATATTGCGTTGTCGCCAGTACACGATCAACCGGATATGCAACTGCATGGTATCGACACTGCGATGCTATTAGTCGAGTGACGATGGAACACAATGAGATCTGGGAAGAACAACGCAGTGCAGCAACTTCCTTTTAGCAGATAGTGACATGCTGTTGCCCATGTTTATATCTGATACCGGCTGCTTGCCGACGGGTCCATCCGCTCAATATATCATCGTCGATCGCGATGATCACGATGATCACCACAGGGAGAGTGGTGTGCAGTCGACGACACATCTCCGTTGATAATCACCATGTCATCAGACAGCTGGGAGTTCTGATATAGAATGTTGACGTCACTGGACCTCTGTGGTCAGTCCGATGAAGGAGGGACGAATTTCATTCTTGAACCCGGGCGGATGTGCATCGGCTGGGAGGTAGACACCAGAATGAACCGGTCAAAGACGAATTATGACAAAGTTTAGAAGCGTTCGCGATCAGTTGTAGTGAACGACGTGAGTGATGGTGGCAGACGAGTGAAGCTTGGAAGTATGACCTCGGGACGATGGGAAGTCGCGGATGCACCTTACCCGATTGGGCTCACATGTATACAAGCCACCCAAGTGCAACCATTCGGTGTCACAGCAATGGACATGAGCAAATGTCGCAATGCCGAAACATTACTATCGTAACTTCATTGAGTGGTGTATTTCCCCTCCTAGTATATACATCTACATCTTATTGAACACATTGGTACCCGTAACATACTCCTCAGTCCCCTCTCTCCTCCGACTTTCCGTAACATTCTCATAAGTCTCCTCCGTAACAATAAGCTCATCGCTCAAGCTCTCCAACAACACGCTGCTCTCCGCTTCCGCGCCGGCCATGTAATCGAAGCTTTCGCCAGACTCGCTACCTGCCTTCTCAAACACATCAGCCCCGCCATCGAACCACCGGGCTTGCTCGCCTATCCAGTCGACTCCACCAGTGCGTCGATCGCGGCGTACGACCTCCTTTTCTTCGAGGGGTAGTAGAGGGAGATCGGTCTTGGGAGGGAGGATGGTGCGACGGTGCCAGGCGCCGAGGAACATGCCTTCGGGGTCGACTTCGTTGCGGACGCGGTTGTATTCGTCTAGGTCGTTGCCGTATACGGAGGAGAGGTAGGCGTTGTCGACGGATTGAAAGTTCTTTGCCCAGTGAGGTCGGCCATTGTACTCTTTCATCAGGTGTTCAAAAGCTTGGTAGTAGCGTTCACGGCAAGGGGGGTCCTGGCCGTAGGGACGGTAGAGCGTGGCATTAAGGTACAGAGCGGGTTGATCGGGATATGAAGTGTCAAGGAATGGACGCGGTTCTCGGTTGACGGTGTTTGCGATGCGAACTTCGATAGGCGAGTGGACGTAGAGGCCTTTGGTGCTGAAGGGAATGCCGGAGGATTGCTCGTCACCGTGCAACCAGTCTGTCAGTCGCGACAGTACCTCAGGACCTTTGTCGAGTGGAACGCTCCATTCGTTGACGAACTGCGAGTAGAGACAGTTCATCAACAGCTCCGTGCGTTGCTCGCCAACGGCAGAAATGAGAGCGCCGTCTTTGAAACCGTATTGCATGCCGAAGACGAACCACTCAACCCAGGGCAGGAAGCGCGGGACATACTGCGATATCCAGAGGAGAATGTGATATGTGTGGAAGCCGACGCTACCGCCATACCAGTTGTACTCCGGCTGCCGATGTGCCTTGTCCGTCTTGTCTGCCCGCCATACGACTGCACGCTTCATGTACGGTAGCCACCATACTCGCGTGAACTCGCTCGATGTCCAGAGCCCGTTGTTCCAATCTGCCAAAACGTCTTCAATCGGTAATATAGTCTGTATCCATTCGACGTTGTTCGCTTCGATCATCTGGAACTCGATTTCGACGATAATGCCCAATGCGCCCAGCGAGACGAGCGCGGCCCGGAAGAGATCTGGCGATTGCTGGGGTGAGCAGCGTACAGCCTGGCCGTTCGCGAGTACTATTCGAAGGCTCTGAACGCGGTCGGAGAGGAGGCCGTGGTTGTACGAACTGCCGTGCGTCGCTGTCGCAATCGCGCCCGCCAGCGATTGATCGTCGATGGATCCGAGATTCGGCATCGTCAAGCCGTGGCTCTTCGCTTGGAGGTTAAGATTATGTAGGCGTATTCCAGCTTGTACAGTCATCGTCTTGCGCTCCTTGTCCACGTTCAACACCTCCTTGTAGTCGTCGAGGTTGATCATCCATGCCGAGGTGCACGTTATATCTGAGGGTGAATGTCCGCATCCTACAGTAACTACGCGCCTTCGCATACGTCTCGCGAGGTTGACAACCTTCTGCACTTCCTGAAGACTCTGCGGCCGGATGTAGAGCTCCGGCCGCGAATGGAACGTCCGGGCCCATGTGTGATGGATGTGTGACTGCGATGCGCGGAAGGGAACGTCGGGGTCCGTACGGTCCAACTCGATATTGAAGCGTGGCGGCATCATGACGCCGGATAGAGGCGACTGCGCCATCCTCGTGGTGTTGAGAATACACGATGCATGAGTTGAGATGATGGCGTACACATGAAAGATTGTCGCGATCGAAGGGTCCAGATGACGTTAGCGGCATATCAGTCTGGACCCCGCCAGAGCACGATGATATCTCGGAGCTATCTCGGGAATATCGCAGCTTCCTCGACAGGCCAGCGTCTTCTTCTATGGTGCGCTGTCCATTCACAAGGTTTGACGCCTATACATTGGCGCCAGATTGTTAAGAAATGTATCACTGCATTTTCGAACGCTGGATTTTGAATTGATAGAGGCTTTAGCATCGAGGAATGAGGTCCATTAATGAGATTAAATGACAAACGAGGGACCCCATTACCCCAATACTGAAGTACTGAGGCGTTTTCGTCGGTACTTCAGCATTGGGGTAATGTGGTCCATTATTCGTCATTTATTTTCGTCGAACTCGACAACTCGTTCCTTTAGTTCCTAGCAACGATACATGTCACGAGATTGCGCCCGCCAAAGCCATCCTCGTCGTCACGGGCATCATTCGCCGCCGCCATACTCGATCCTACACGATCCCTCCCAAAGCCCATATCCACGTCTACAACTTACTCAACACCTTCTCCTCCCTCCCCTTCAACCCCGGATGCTGCGTAATAATCGGCCTAGTAACCGCAAAGAAAGCCGTTCCACCCGATTTACTCGAGAACTGCGCCTTGGAGCCAACGTGGAAGAAAGCAAAGTCGCCGGCAACGAGGTGATGTGTGACACCGGTTGCCTCGTCTAGTACGTCGATTTGGCCGTTGAGAACGTACTTGGTCTCCTCGTAGTCGTAGGTGGGGATGTTGCGTGTGGGGCCCGCTTTGATGCGGTAGAATCCTGAGGTCAGGTATGTGGGGGAGTCGGTGGTTTGGGTGCGGATGCTGGGGGTGCGTTAGATGGGGGTGCTGGGTACTTGGGTTGGGGGGAGAGATGGAGAGGTTGATGTTGTGGGGTGCAGTGGTTGGTGGACTTACGAGTGGAAGTCTGCGACGATGGCGCTCTCGCCCTCGGGGATGGGGATGTACTCATTGCCCGCGCCCTTGATGATGGTGAGAGGAACGTATTTTTGAGACACTACAAAATGGTAAGTATGTGTTCTCCAGTTGACGCAGAATTAATTGGAGTGGTGTCGCTACTTACTGGCTGGTGATGTGTGGGGTTGTGTTTGAAGGAGAAGTTGGGGGATTTGAAGTTAGTTATCTAATGTTCAACGACAAATACCGGTCTTCATATACATAGACCAAGCTACGACTGAGTACTACTTTGGCCCCGTTGAGCACTGATTGCTGCCTACCCCTTCTTCTCCTCTCCGTGATATTTGTCCGCATTGGGTAAGTCGTGCCGGGCAGCCTAGCGTAGACAACCTGACCTTGTACTTGTCGAATGTAGCTTGAGATCCACCTCACAATAAAAGCCGATTGGAGACCCGACGTTAGATCTATCGTGTATTGCGTGATATGCGGTGAGATTCGTGGTGCAGGTACGGGGAAGGGACCTGGCGCTAGCGCAATCTAGAATGAGCTGTCATCACATCTCCATCTTCACACGCAACAACCTTCCCATACTTTGTGACTGTCCTCTAAACATATAGCGAGCAGTAGTATACATGCAGATTGAACACGAATACGGAAAGACAAGAAAGCTAAACACAAGCCCCATCGCAGCTCGGACCGACAATAAAGTAACAACGTCACAACCACAACACCCCCGAACATCACGGCGCCAACCCACCATCCTCATAATGAAACAACTCCCTCAACCACTCCCAAGACGCCGCATACAATCGCTCCACACCATGCGTCTCCAAAAAACACAGCGCCTGATCCCACGGCAAGCCACCCTTCCTCATCAACCCTTCCTTCAGTATACTCTTAAACTGCGTATCCAGCGGCCGGAAAAGACGCCTGATCTCCGCAGGTGATATACTGGAGGTGCGGACACTGTTCCGCTCAAAGCCCGTGCCGGTGAACTTCCAGCGGACGGCCGTTTGGATGATCTTGAAGGCTATCGTGTAGCGGGAGTAGAGGGTGTCGCCAGGTAGCTCGTATAGGTGGGTGATGTGCTTGTGCATGAGGTCTACGAAGTTGGCCATTGAGCCGGCTGTACTGAGGGCGCTGGTGGGCATGTGGGATAAGATTTTCTGGCTTTCCGACTCGATGGTGGAAGACTTGGGGTCGATGTGCCAGCGGGTGAGAGGGTCCATTGCTATGATCGATAGTCAGATCTCAACCCTTTGTGGACTTGATGCAAGGCGTCTTACCCGCTTCCGCAAGGCCAAACGCTTCGAGTTTGTGGAAGATGGCAAGGCAATATTTCTTTGTCGCGTTGAGATGCTGTTTCCTTCGTGTTAGTCTACGGCTTGAATCCCGAGTCACCAGGAGTTGGTCGCTGAATATATTGGCAACCTTTTCGTATTCATGTACATGTGTGTACTCCTTGTCTGAGGGTTCTTTCCATCCGCGAAGGTCTGGACGCTGGAGTTCCAAGGCATCGGCGGCGTCCTTGCGATCGCATGCTCGCAGCAGACGTAAAGCATCGTTGCAGCGATCTTGCCAGTCTAGTAGTTGTATCTCGACGTCTTTCCTTTCGGTGTATTCCTCGCTCTCACGTGGTGTTGGATTTGCCTCATCCGTGGACTGGGTACGCAGCCCGGTGGTGGAACTTCTCGTGCTGATAGTGGGGAACAGCCGCTGCAGCGGGAGCGAGGACCAAAAGGGTGGTACACTTGACGGAGGGTTGCTTTTGCGTATCAACTTGTCACAGTCGCCGCTGAAGTGGTCTCGACGAGGACAGGTGAAGCAGACGACCTTGTCCAAATTCGCGCAGTCTAATTTAGAAGTTGTTTCCTGCTTGCAGCCGTCGCAAAAATGTCGAGTTGGTATAGCCGCATTGGGATCGTTTGGGGTGTATGACATGCTACGTAGGTGGTGAGAGGGAGGGAATAAGAGATGCTGTAACAAAATTGATTAAGTGAGAGACGTTGACGTGAGGGCGAAACAAGAACGCAAGACAGGACGCGGGTACCCGTGACGCCAAGCTCTTGTGTTACCCAGGTAGCAAACGGATCTTGAGATGACCGCAAGTCGGGCAAAACGTGACAAGTAAGGTACTGTACGTCGTGGCCATGGATCTCTCGCATTTTGCACTTTATAGCGAGATCGACGAGACTTCTCTATGAGTAAACGATTCGTCGTTTCCTGTGACCATAGCCAAGAACGAGTAGTCGAGTTAGAAAGGTCCCGGAACGACACACGCTATCGTTCTTATTTTCGAGGGTGAAAAGCGACGGCTTGTTCGGTTGCATGTTAATTCGTACTGTCGTGATGCGTATTTCCTCGTCCATCTCATGGGCCAACAATTACCGCAACGGGATACCTTCATCCCCATCGTCATTCAAAGTGTCCATCTCGTCTCCACCAAAGCCTTCACTGCCCACATCATCGCCGACGTCAAAGCGCATAAACTTCTCGTTCTTCGCCTCGGCTACATAATGGTTAGCATTGCCTTCTCCACAAAACGTGTCAAGAGATACTCACTACCCCACTCCACAACCTGTCCATCTTGAACCTCGCAGTCCTTGAGAACAGTCTTGTCGCCGTCTTTAGCATCGCCACCCTCCATCTTACATCTCCGGCCCAGTATGCAGTCTGTGAGTTGTACGTTGGGTCCGATTTCGACACCGTCCATCAACAGACACCGCAGCAACCTTGCGCCTTCGCTGATCTTGCAGTTTGGACCGATAACGCTTTCTTTGATGTTGGTCTTCTCTTCTACGATGACGTTGTCCGCCAGCAGTGAGTTCTCGGCTTCGACGCGGCATTTCCTTGGAATAGACTCCTTGTGAACGATCTTCGACTGATGAGCGAATGGCGATGCTGCTTCTTTGCCGACTTCCTCGATCGACTGCAGCTTTGCTAGGCGGAGTGAAACGGTAAGCAGAAGATGTGAGTCGTCTACACGGCGAATGAGGGGTTCGGCAGGTCCCGACGGTTGGACGTAGGCAAGGATTGGTGGTACCGTAAGCTTCGTATTCGAGGCGAGCAATTTCGCGGATTCGGGTATGCTGGACGATTTTGTGACTCTCGACGCGAGTGTCGTAGGAGCCTTTGAGTCGGATTCTGTGTTACCGCCTGAGTATGTAGTGCTGAATTTGGATACATCGATCTCTTCCTCGACAACTTGCGACCCGTGATCCGACTCCTCATCCTCGCCCTGGAGTATTTGTCGCAGGCCCAACTTGTCTCCCAGACCGTTTTGCCAGCCCGCCTTCGCCCACCAACCCAAAACCTCCTCACTTATGCTTTCGAACTTCTCATTCTTCTTGATCATCTCAATGACCCAGTATGGGAAGAAGTAGATGTGTGCGTCACGGTGGGTTGTAAGCATTCTTATCCGCGCGTGCTGGCGAATGAGCGAGTGTCGCAGTGGAAATGTCTTGTTCTCCTCTGTGATATCGTTTAGGGTGTCGGTGGGTACGGAGTAGACGAGTTTCGAGATGTTGCGGCGCAGCGAGTCTGTCGGAACAGGGACGATGGACGTAGGTAGCGGTGTCGTCGCAATGAAGTCTGTCTCCTCCTTCTTCCTGCTACCTTCCCCCTTGGCTTGGTACCACACGCCCATGCCGCCTCTTCTTCCGAGCTTCTCTCCGCCAGCGCCGAAAGCGATCTTGCTGCCGTTGTGATCTAGCCCTCCACTAGCTCCTGCGAATCCGCCCTGTTCTACCATCCAGGCGTCTGCCAGCGCCGTGCCGTCCAGTTCGCATACGAGATCGCATGGCAGTACTATGAAGTCGCCCTTAATCGCGTTTTGAAGCTCAGGTAACCGGAAGAGGTCGCCGGTACTCGTCTGATGTGAGAGGTCTTTCGGCGCAAGGATGTCTGGCTTCGGCGAAGGGAGGGTTGTGAGGTGTGGGTTTTGCGACATGGCGGCCTCGATGGCTTCCAATGATTCTGGCGGTGTCACGACTGTGATGTCTACGAAGAGTCAATACAAATTATGGAAGAAACATATGTGCAATCTTGTACCTGTGACTCCCATGCGGTAACACCATTCCAGAGGATACCAGACCATAGGCCTGTTGGCAATGGGCAGCAGGGCCTTTGGTATCTCCTTGGGCGTTGATGTGAAGGTACTGAAGGAAGCACCAGGGCCGCACAGAATAAGGGCCTGGAAGCCCGGCGCGGGCAGACTCGTCGCGTGAGGCATCGTGGTGTGTGCGGTGGGTGTCGCGATGTGGGCGTAGTATGGTAGCTCTGAGTCTATCTCGATCCTTTCTGAATAGAAGGCGCTATTTCTAGCTTCGCTTGTGAGATGGTATTGGCGTATATCCGCCGAGTGATGCTGCAGGTACAAAGGCGTGTGGGGTGTTAGAGTCACCCCGCCGCCAAAAGTTCGAGGGCGGCTGACTCGCGCACACCCGCCGCGGCCTTTCGGCGCGTGTCAGGCAGGCAAGCAAGCTTCAGCTCCCAGCCACTCGCCCTGGCGTGCCGGCCGTCAACAACAGGGAAGCAGCCGAGCGGCAGCGGCTGACGACCAAAACAACGCCCGACCCGCCCACGAAACATTTCACGATACCATGACCTGACGCCACCATGTCGTCCTTCAACTACGACCGCTACGACCGCCGCCAGAACAACTCGCGCAACCGCGGCGCCCTCGGCTTCTACGTTCCTCTGATCCTCACCGTCACCGTCGCAACCGCCGGTCTCGCAGCCTGGGTCTGGAGTGCGCGCGAGGACAGCCGCGACTACTCGTCCGATGACGATCTCTCCTATGGCGAAGATTCGGCCCACGAAAAGCGACAGGGCAGGGCGCCTGCTGCACGCGATGTCTCTGGGTTCCCCGTAGGCGAAGGGGGCGGTGAGGGCTATGGCTACGGCGATGGCACGCTGCTTGGCCGCGCACAAGGCGTCATCCGTCGCACACCATCCCCGCAACAGCTTTTCGATACCGTGAGCAAGAAGACAGCAGCAGGTTGGGCCGCGGCAGGTGCTGCAGCGGGTGCCGCGCTCGCTTCCATCCGCGAGGAAGACAAGGACGAAGCTTTTGGCGACCACTCTCGCTGGAATGAGGAGGCCACAATGCGTAGGAATGTCGAGGCGCAGAGCCGGGACAGCAATGCTGCAGTCGATGTGCAGGCACGAAGCTTCGCGGCGAGCGTGCGGAAGGCTGAAGGCAGAGGCGAAGGCTACGGTGGAAGAAGAAAGACCGTTGTCCTGGTCGTCAGCGCAGAGAGCCTGGACCGGTTGGACGACGACGAGGGCTCATACCGCGAAGAAAACGCCGTAAGCATTGCATCTCGTCTCCCTTCTCACGTGCCCAAAACTAACAGCTCGCAGACCATCCTCTCCCACCTCCCCGACACCGACTTCTCGCGAACCAAGCTCTTCGTCCTCATCTACTCCCCGTCGCTGCGCTCGCGCCCACAATCCCGCGCCAACTCTCGCACTGGCTCGTCTTCGCTCGGCGACTCGTACTCTGCTATCAGCACACCCGCACGCACACCAGGCGAGGAGCTGTCGTCCGTCGAACCCGTCATCTACACACCCGCACCCAGCACCAGGGGCTCTGACAACTCGCTCTGGAACACACTGCACTCGCAGGCCCTCCGCCTCGTCGAGGACCCGGCCATGGTCATGCCTTTCAACACCACCACTGGCTTCGTGCACATGCTCAGGCATCTCGGACCAGAGCTTGTCTACGTAGTCGATGCGTTGAGCGGTGTGAACGGTCAGAACATCGACGACATCAGGAAGTGGGTTGGACAGACAATTGTTGTTGTTGGCGGTGATGGCACTGGCCTTGGTGGGCTTGTTGACACGGACGACGAGGGCCCCATGCGCAAGGGCAAGGAGAGCGAGCACACTGTTAGGTGGTGGCAGGTTCGCAACGACATGATCGGGCTGGGCAAGGGCGTCGAGGTGGTGGATGCCTCTAGGCTTGAGGATGACTACGAAAGGAGGGTTGGTGGACGCGAGTAGATTCGCTTGCTTCTGTACTGACCTGGAGTTTGACGATGTTACCGATGTGTATAGGGACCTTTCGCGATGCTTGTATCTGATTAACGACGAATATACCATGCTTTTTGAGAGACTGGGCTCATGACAAAATGACGCTGTGCGCGAGGAAAGACAAAAACGTGAGAACAGTGAACGCCTGCGCAAAGCCCATGACGCGGGCTTTGCTGCATACATAGCATTTTAT